ACTAGTGGTCAGAGGCTGAACTACAACATAAAAATGAACGGCTAGTTGACGTTTTAAACCTTAATAATAAATCGATACAGGGCTTTAGAATATCGATACAGTGTTAAGAAATGAAATATCGCGATACTTCAGTGTATCGACATTTTCTTACACCCCTACTGAGTTATAGCRYTTTTTGTGTTGGTTAAGGTTGATCATTCGTGGCCACCATCTTAAATTGAGTTGACCCCAAACTGTTAGACATACATTCATTAGTGATTTTCCTAGTTTCAATAAATCCTACATAGTAGATATTTTGCTAACAAATAGTTTTGATTTTATCAATTGATGCCAAAGTTTTTGGACGCCCTGCAGTTCACCTACCAGCCTGGCATTGGGTTGGGTCATCCACCTACTGCATGGATCTCTCTCTCACCCAGAGCAGGCGGGGGGACACTGTGGGGGGTCAGGTCAGCGCTCATTTTTATCTCACAGCTTTATCTCATATTATTTTGTACAAGGTTGGCGTGCAAAGTGTAATGCTCAAGGTAAAGGCCAATTTTTGATATATTGACCTAAAAATGAATATAGTAGTAGCTGAGACTTAGCTCTATCATAAATTGCAGCCGAAATAAAAATCCAAGATGGCCGCCAAAGCTATAAGGCCTTTTACTCAGCCATTTATGGAGATATTGACATGAAAACTTATGTACTGGTAGCTGAGAGCATGCTCTATAACATATTGAAGCATCAAGAAACTTCAATATGCTGAGAGCATGCTCTATAACATATTGAAGCATCAAGAAACTTCAATATTTGTGGCCACAGTTATTTCGGCTAATTTTTTCCCATTGGAAATGAATGGAGCTTTATTCAACATCCTTAAATTTCTTCATAATATTTCTAAATCTTTACAGAACCTAACAGATTATATTCTGGTTTTTCTCCTATTACATTACTTGTGACAACTTTAGCTACTTCCTTGCTGTTTTTAGCTTTTTCAGTCATTTCAGCTAAAATTCTTCATCCTTCTAATATTCTTCTGCTAAATTTAACTTTTTGTGCTTCTTTCTTCTAATTTCAGTTATTTATGATTCTTACAGTTGCTTCCTGCTATATTCAGCTATTTTAGACTTTAGCTTTTAGCTTTTTATGCTATTTCAGCTGCAGTTCTGCTACTTTTTGCTATTCTTCTGCTTTTTTCTGCTAATTGGGGCTATTATGCTTCTTACAGTTGCTCTCTGCTATATTCAGCTATTTCCTATAAATTTATCTCAATTTCAGCTTCTTCTGCAGCTTTCAGCTTACGTTTTGCGCAACAGGCATTCACCCTTGCATTTTCGTAGGAAATGCAAATACTCTAGTTAAGTTAAAGCCAATTTAGTGTTTGATAAAGTTGCTTAGCTGTGGCGGCTATCTTGAAATGATGTGCTGTGACGATTTTTTTTTTTTGAAAGGTCAATTAAAATGTGTCCAGAGATGTTTTATAAATGACGTCACACACCTTCAGAGCTAATATTCATTTCTTCCTCCATTTCTGTGGCTGCATCATCATCATCATCATCATCATCACCATCATCATCGTCATCGTCACACAGTCTGATCACATCAGCCTCCTGCTGCTCCGTCCTGCTGTCCTGTTCCTGTAGGTCAAAGTTTGAGCTTCTGTGACCTAACGGATCACCTCTGACTCCCTCTCCATCCACACCAACCGCTTCAGGGTCTGTGTTTTGGCTACGAAGGGAGTGCGTCGCTGCATCTCTTGGCTCCGAGCCGACGTGATGATTTTCCTCCACGCCACGGGCAGAGTCCAGCAGCAGAGCTTCGGCTCTCCGCAGCCTCCGTTTCAGAGACTCGTTCTCCCGCTGCAGCCCCTCGTAGAAGTCGCTCGTGGCCTGACCCACGAGCGACTTCACCTCTCGAACCGCGATCTCGACGGCCACTTCGAAAGCTCCGTGTATCACCGCGACGAGCTCCTGCTGGAGGGAGAGCACGGCCTCGGTTCCGCTCCGGTTCGTCGCAAAGCCTCGCATTTGACTCTCAGCCAGCTGCGGCTTCATGGTGCATCGGCTTAAAGGCGACAAGAGGATGATTTTTACAGCTGTAAAACAATGACAGGGGGCTCGCGCTGCGCTGCTGGCTGATGGTCCTTGTTTGCAAACTTGTGACGTCACTTCCGCTAAGTCCGCCTCTCTGCTACAGTGACACCTAGTGGTAAATAACTGAAGTTATAAACAGTGTTTGGGTGTCATCCAAAAAATGTTTCAGACTTTTACCCACAAGTTGTATAGCTTCATAT